GGATCTGTCTCCATGCACACATGAGTGGCCCCCAGGAAACACAACTGCACAGATCACATCCACCCCAGCACAGCTCCCACCTGCTCCAACCTGCCTCAGGGCCTTGGTACTTGCTGTTCCTATGGCCTTAAATTCACTTGCCACACATCTCAAGGCTGCCTCTCTCATCCTTTGGGTGTCAGCTCAACTGGTTCTTCCTCAGAGAAGCCTTCCCAGCTAAAATAGCCCTCTCACCCCTTGCCTGTCTGTCCCATTGCCCTCTCTGTCTTTTCTCTGTAGTACTTATCCCCGTGGAAAGCATCCTGCCTGCTGGCTTGCGTTTTACTCTCTTCTCCCACTACAATGTCAGCTGCAGGAACATAGGAACCTATTCACTGCGGCGGCCTCCACGACAATTCCTCTCTGGCATGGATACTTGTTGAATGAAAAGAAATGAATGAACAATCATTGACACATGCAGACATGGCCAGTAGTCATCTGGGTCACGCTGGCAAGCACGATACACGCAGACAGCCAGGTCTGGGGGTCCCCATCACTGGGAGCATCACACATCACACCCATGCACGCCTTTATTCAGATGTATTCTGAGCTGAGTCTAGCACGGCCGGCCCTGCAGGATGGCAGGCAAAGTAGCTTGTGTTCCATGCTGGTGGCAGGACTAGGGGGGCGGGGATGGTGACAGGTTTATTTGTGTGCCTGGTGTGTGTGTGTGTGTGTGTGTGTGTGCATGTGCGGGTCAGGAGGATCGCTTACCTTCAGATCAGTGGGGAATTCCTCCCTCTTCACCAGGCCTGTGGCTGCTGCGATGTTCCCTGCCCCAGAGAACACAGCTCCTCCCAGATGTGAGGCCTGTTCCTTGGTTTTTTCAGCCACTGGAGCAGGGAGGGGGTTGAGGAAGGGGTTTGGGAGCAAGGGGGAACCATCGATGCCCCACCTTGTATCCTGGGACCTGCCCTTCCCACAGCGCATTCCCGCAGAAGCCTTGGGGGTCTCCCCCGCCCCTGCCCTCTGGTTCCCGGCCAGATCACCGGCCTAAGTGGGAGAAGGGGCTGGTGCCAGGGCTGGGCTGGTACCTGAAGCCACACCTTGTACCACACCTTCTCGGGTCTTGCTTCCTGCAGGGAGAAAAAGCGGCACATTTAAGGGCTCTGTGCTGAGGGAATAGAAACTCCAGCACAGCATGGTGATGACAAAGTGGGCATCCCGTCACTGTCCCCACATCCTACAACCTGCACCCCCATGTTAACCCCCCTCTTATCACTGCACTGGGCCCCCACAGCTCTGTCTGCAGGAGTTGCAGTTCTCTCTTGCCTGACGCGATATCCCCACCCCTCTAGTGGATGCTGGCTGAGGGCCGGTGCTGTGTAAGGTCCTCTGCCTGCCCCGTTGCACTTCGCTTTTCCCCAGCCCTGGGAGGCGGGTGCTGTTATTGTCCCTGTTTCACAGATGGAAGCTCAGTGTGGGTTCCGCCACTAGGAAGTGGCTGAAGTGACATTCAAGTTCCGGCCTTTCTGGCCCTCAAACTTCAGCTACCAACCACTCTAACAGCATGTAGCCCAGGATGGGAGGCAGGTGGGGGGTGGGAGTAGGGGTGGAGCTGGGAGGCGACAAAGCTATATATTTGAAAGGTTCCCCTCGTGCCCAATGCACCACTGCCCACAGCCCACTGCCCCATTCCATTTCCTTTAAAGATTCTCTTCTCCTAACAGGGGTGCAAACCCCTTCTTCTGGCCAAAGTAGGGGGTGTCAGGCTCAGGGTGGGTCTAAAGGTGATATGCAGATTGTGACTGGCACCCATGGCATTGGCTGGGCCTTCCTAGGAGGGTAGCACCTTAGTCACATCAAAATGGCTGGGGGCTGCTGGGAAGGCCAGAGGGCCTGATCTGGGCTGGAGGATGAGAGCCGGAAACGGGGCGGGGAGTATCCCGTCTGACAATGTGGCAACACAGACAACAGTGATGGAGCCAGAACTGGGTGTCTAGGCAGGCTGAGCCTGGCAGGGGGTTGGGGTGAGAGGCTGGCGTGGGAAGACAGGGTTCTCAGGGCGACGGCCAACCAGCACCCAGAAACAGGAGGGGCAGGCTGCATGCTCCCCTTTCACTCCTCCCACAAAACATCAGTTTCCACCTACTCCGTGCCAGGCCCTGGACCAATCTCTCACTGTCTAAAGTGGGTAAGAGAACAGATTCAGTTCCTGGACCTCAAGTAGTGGGGAGAGGACTTCCAGCCTCCAAGGACTGTGTGAAGAGGGAAGGAACACTGCCTGGGCCTTGAGAAATGGGGAGCAGATAGACATCAGAAAGGAAATTGCAGAGGGTATCCCAGGCCCAGGGACCCACTTAGACAAGGCAGAGCAATGTGCTTTCAGGACAGTCCATGTGCCAGGAGCCATGGGTGTGGTGGGAAACGTAAATTGAGGCAGGACCGTGAAGGGCATTGAATGCCAGGGTACAGGGAGCCGAGACTTTAACTTGTAGGAACTGGGGTCCATCAGGGGCTCCCAGGCAGAGGGAGGAACAGGAAGTGCCAATCTAAGGGGAAGAGCAGTATGGCTTGGAGGGGCTGAGTCTATTATCAGAGAGACAATGTCAGGGAGCCAGAGGCCAGCAGGAATGAAAGACCTTGGGGAGGAGGCAGGAGGGAGGCCAGAGCTGGTATCAAGCAGACATGCAATTTAGCCTTCTCCCGGTCTCCATTGCCACCGCCCTCGTCCCTGCCACCCTCATCCTGTGGCTTTACCATCTCCCATCAGACCTCTCTGCAGTTGTTCTGTCCCCAGAGGCCCAAGCGACCTTTCTAAACTAATCACATCATGGCAGTCCCTTGCTTACAATCTCTCGTGGCCATGATAACAACGTTTTGCCCTGGCCTGCAAAGGGCCCTCGTGAACTGTCTCCTGCCCATCACTCTGACCTCACCTCCTACCACTACTTCCTGCCTTGCCCCCAGCTCACCCCAGGGCCTTTGCACCTGGCTTTTCTGCAGCCCTGCCCCCTCTTATTACTCAGGGATGAGGCATTCTCTTCGGGGAGCCACTGGATGTCAACTTGCACTACTGAAATGCTCTGTGTCACCATCAGGAGAGCAGGAACCATTCTTTCCTGTTCATTGTGAAACCCCAGCATTCGCAGGAGGCCTGGCACATAATAAGTGGACACAAAATATTTTTCAAATGGCCACAATCCAAATATGCTACAACCCTGGGCAAGTTATCCAACCCTGGCCTTTCTCCTGATACCAGCCGGTGGTTGCAAGGAAAGCGGACGGGGAGGAGAGATGGCAATGGTAAGACCACAGGAGTGGTGATGCAGGCGGACCTGGAACACAACTCAACTCAGCCTTGGAGGTGCTGGAGGGAGGTGCCACAAGGGAAGGGGTGGGGCTTCCGACTCTATAAAGCTCGTTCAAACCCCAGTTTCAGCATTTACCAGCTGGGTGACCTTGGGCAAGATACTTAGACCTCTGGGAAGCCCAGTTTCCCTTATCTGTAGAATGGGCTGGAGCATTAAATGAGGAAATGGATGTTATGACATTTTACCCAGTACTTGGCATACAGCAAGTGTTCAACACCAGGTAACTAGTAATAATGGTAATAAGGATAAGAAAAAGGAGGTTCTCTGCTTTCATCACTGCACCGGTCCCTGGCCTTTCAGCTGGAGCTCCCCCTCATCAGCCCGCCCCGTGTCCCCATTTCCGGATACAGACCCAGGCTTCTATGGGCTGGCTATGTCCCCCGTGACCCCTGCTGACCCCGCCCCATCTGCTGACTCATATTCTCCTGCCCAGAACCCCCCTTCCCGGGACCCGGCCCCAGCTCTACACTCTTGGGGGATCCCCAGCTCTGCAGCCCCAGAAACCCCGCCCCTCACCCACCGACGTAGAGGACGCCCTCCTTGGTCTTCTCCGCTGCCTCGGTGACCCCCTGCTTGGTTTTCTCCGCGGCTGCCACAACGCCCTCCTTGGCCATGGACAGGCCCTTCATGAACACGTCCATCCTGGCGACCTGGGGAGGGCGATACACGGGCACCGGTGCTCTGGCCCCGCACCCTCACCCCAGCCCCTTCCGAGGGACGTGGGTCCCCTCCTCCTCCCGAGACCGCGGCGCCCTTCTGGACCCTGAGCCCCGTCCCGCTTTCCCCCATCCCACCCCACTCCCCAGTGCGAAGCCTCAGGGCCGCGGAGAGTCCTAGCGTCCTTGAAATCCGGGAATGCGGGAGGGGCCACTGCCTCTGTTATCCGGGCCCTGCAACCTGCAGCCCCGTGGAACCGGAGTGCTGGTTCGGCGCGAAGATCCAGGACCCGCCTGTACACGCACGGCAGAGTCACACGGTCATGCACACAAACATACACCACGGACAAGCTCACGTGCACACACAGGACACGCAGACGCTCCAACGCGCACGAACACCCCGACCCACACGGGCGCAGACACACGTCCCCACAGCCGCCCGGGCAGCTGCAAACACTGGAGCATACTCACATACTCCGGGGTGCACACTGATGTGCATCCTCCGGACCCCCCTCCATTTTCCATCCCCTTCCCCAGCTCCCTCCTGCCGCCTCAGTCCCCTCTCCACCCTCATCCCGTTCCCCATCCCCGGCGCGCGGCCGCCTCACCTGGATGCGGGGCCGGGGCTGGGGATGGAACGGTCGCTGCGGCGGGCGGACGCGGGGGCTCCGCTAGGCCGGGCCGGGGTGGACTAGGGGCCGGAGTGGGGATAGGGCCGGGGTCAGGCGCTTGGGTCGCGGGTCCTCAGCAGGAGCGCAGCAGTGCCCGGGTCTCCGGTGCGTCGCCAGCCACCGCTAGTTCCTCCCGCCCTGCGAGCTCGCGCGCTCCGGCTCCGGCTCTGGCGCTGCGGCAGCTCTGAGCTCAGCACCCGCCTGGCGGCCGCGCCGCCCCCTCGGCCTGACTGACAGGGGGCGGGGAGGGTGACTGCGCGTAGCCGATGAGCCTCCCGGGGCGGGCCCGGGACGCGCCCCTGGGGGCCCGGCCGTGAGACTCTCGTAGTCTGTTGGGAGGTGGAGGAGGGGGACAATGCGGCGTGCGAAGAGTGGGGAAGAAATCACGCGATTGGATTTGGAGTTCTGCTGGACTCGAATCTCAGCTGTGCTTTTTATTAACCGTGGGACCTTGAGCTACTTGGCTCTCCTTTCTGAATGACAGTTTCCTCCTCTGTAAAACAGGAATGGTTAATTCAACGAATGTTTACTGAGCGCTTAGACAAGTGGTGTAGGTTCAAGGCTGGAGGCAGTGGAAAAGGAAAACAAGGTTCCTGGTCTGGGGAAGCTTACCATGGGGGTGTTTGTACGTGTGTGTGTTCGTGTGCTCAGCGGGGGAAGACAGGACAGAAAATAAACGGATCAACATCGAAAGCAACAAGGTCATTACAGCTTGTAATTTGTGAAGGTAACGGTGATGTAACACGGGGACTAGAGGAGGGGTGCTTGAGACAGGGTGGTCAGGGAAAGCCTCCACCAGCAGGTGAATTGTAGAGACTCCAGAGAGGCACCATGGCACCACAATGGGTGAGGACAAGATCCATAGAGAGTGCAAATGCAAACGCCCCAAAGCAGTGCTGTGCTGACAAAAGACAGCGCAGCTGGAGAGCCAGGATGGAGGGAGGTGGAGAACAAAACCACTTTTTTGTGTGTTTATGGTGGGGACTGTCAAAATGATCACAGAATGCCAGGCACACAGTAGGCCCTCAGTTGGTGCTATGATAGAATTATGCCCAAGAAGCTGTAGTATCCCAGAGGAAAGGGACTCTGACAGCTTAAGGGAGTCAGGAAAGGACATAAAAAGAGGTGACATCTGAACTGTGGCCTGGCAGGAAGGGGAACACTTCATCTAGCAGGCTAGGGAGAAAGAGAATTTTTGGCTATGGGTACAGCATGGGCAAAGGCACTGTGGCCAGAAATGCAGGGTGTGTAAGTGACAGGTAATTAGGTAAGGGGGCCACCAGCAGCCAGACTGCAAAAAAAAAAAAAAAGAAAAAGAAAAAAAACCCAACCAACCAACCAAACACAAAACGTTCCCAGGCCGCTGGTAGAACTGCAAATTGGCGCAGACATTTTGGAAGGCAATTTGGCAGTGTTTACCAAAAGCATAAATGCATGCGCCTTTGGAGCCAGCAGCTCCCCTTCCAGGAATTGATCCCGTGTGACTCTAGTCGTACATGCACACAAAGATATCTGTGCAAGGATTCACTGTAGCATGGTTTTTTGTAGCCCAAAACGGAAAATGATCTAAATGATCACCTGTACAGGACTGGCTAGTTAACTGTGGCATGTCCACCCAGTGCAGTGCCACACTATGGTTGGGAAAGATGAGCTAGACCCATGTGTGCTGACATGGGAGTGTGCCAAGATGTGGTGTTAAGTGGGAGAAGCAAGGTGCCAAACTGCAATGTGTGGAATGAGCCAATTTTGATACAAAGGGAATTATATTTTATGTATAAGTATTTATAATTTTCTATGTGTCAAATATATATTATATACTAACATATACATACTTATCACATACTATATACATTATACACAGACACTTTATATACAAACATATGCATATTTATGGCTAGATATACAATTCTTTTTTCTTTTTCTTTTTTTGAGATAGAATCTCCCTCTGTCACCCAGGCTAGAGTGCAGTGGTGCAATCTTGGGTCACTGCAACCTCCACCTCTAGGGTTCAAGCAATTCTCCTGCCTCAGCCTCCCAAGTAGCTGGGATTACAGGCATGTGCTACCACACCTGGCTAATTTTTGTATTTTTAGTAGAGACAGGTTTTCACCATATTGGTCAGGTTGGTCTCGAACTACTGACCTCAAGTGATCTGCCCTCCTAGGCCTCCCAAAGTGCTGGGATTATAGGCGTGAGCCACCTCACCTGGCCACACATCTGTAATAATTTCTGAAAAAACTGTTAAAGGGCGTTGCACCTAGGAAATGGGACTGAGAGGGTTCCGGGAAGGAAGTTTCACATTCCATTGCCTTCCTTCCTGGTGCTGTTTGATTATTTTCCCTTGGATAGTATTTTACTTGTATTATTTTAAGAACTAGCGGCCGGGTGCGGTGGCTCAAGCCTGTAATCCCAGCACTTTGGGAGGCTGAGGCAGGCGGATCACGAGGTCAGGAGATCGAGACCATCCTGGCTAACACAGTGAAACCCCGTCTCTACTAAAGATACAAAAATTAGCCGGGCGTGGTGGCGGGCGCCTGTAGTCCCAGCTACTCGGGAGGCTGAGGCAGGAGAATGGCGTGAACCCGGGAGGCGGAGCTTGCAATGAGCCAAGATCGTGTCACTGCACTCCAGCCTGGGCGACAGAGCGAGACTCCATCACAAAAAAAAAAAAAAAATAGAACTAGCATGGAGGATACCTGTAATTATTTTTGGTCTGTCAGCATCAGAATTCCCCCTTCCCATGTTTAAAGGGGTCCCCCACCTTCTGAGGCAGAACCCACCTTCCCCTCTGAGAGATGACCATACCAAATAATTGCTTTCTCAGTCTTCCTTGCAACCAGGACATGTGACTGACAGGTGCAGCTCCAGACTTGGGACCTGAAGCTAGTCCCAGGAAGCAGCAGGGAAGGAGGCGGGGGTGTGTTCTGGTGTGGAAAAGTGGTGGTGGCAGCTCCTGCCAAGGATCATTGGCAGCACTGACACTCACTGTGGGAGTGTCCAACACCAACAGGACAAGCTGCACTGTCCATGCCCAGCCATGGTGTTGGGATTCTTCATGAGTCTGCCTGGTAGTGGGATTTGGGGCATCATTTCAGGTTGTGTGGTCACCAATGTGGATTTTCTAGCTATCCTGGAGATTATTTGAGCTGTCCAGTATTTTTCTTTTTTTAAGAGATAAGGCTTCACTGCATCACCCAGGCTGGAGTACAGTGGCACAGTCAATCATAGCTTACTGCAGCCTCGAACTCCTGGTCTCAAGCGATTCTTCCATCTCAGCCCCTTCAGTAGATGAGACTACAGGTGCATGCCACCATGTCTGACTAATTTAACAAATATTTATTATTTGTTTGTGATTTACTTATTTTTTGTAGAGATGGGGTATTTGTTTGTGATTTACTTATTTATTTTTTGTAGAGATGGGGTCTCACTAGGTGGCCCAGGCTGGTCTCGAACTGCTGGCCTCAGACTGCTGGCCTCAAGTGATCCTCCCACCTCAGCCTCCCAAAGTGCTGGGATTACAGGTATGAGCCATTGCACCTGGCCCATGAGCTGCCCAGTATTTAATAAACTCCTTATCTGCTTAAATTACCCAGAAGTGATTTCTGTGGCTTGGGATTAAGAACTCCTGATGCCAGAGTATGAGATAAAGAAAGATGAAGGAGGATGGAGGAGCAGGGAAAGGAGGAAGGGAGAAAGAAGATGAAATAAAGTGTATCTGAACTTCAGATCACAGGAAACGGGAAGTCACTGAAGGATTTTAAGCACAAGAGACCTAATGAGATGTACATTTTATGGGGCCAAACGGAGATGGGTTGGAGGAGGATAAGGCTGGCTGTAGAAAGATCAGTAGGAGGCTGGGGCAGACTCTAGAGGAGGGAAAAGGACGCCTGAACTACAGAAGTCCCGGTGGGGCTGGAGCAGGGCTGGAAGGAGAGATGTGAATATCACTTGGGAGTAACTTATTAGGTGTTACGGGAGAGGGATAAGGACAAGTCGAGGAAGATTCCCAGGTTTCTGGATTGGACAATGGAGTGAGTGATGCTGCTGCAAAATGAAATAGGCATTGAGGGGGTGGAGCAGCTTGGTGGGAGATGATGATGAGCTTGCCTGGCGGAATGACAGACAAGCTGGAGGGGATGTCCAGCAGACAGTAGGGTATCTGAGCCCAGAGCTCAGGAAAGCACTCCAGGCTGGCTTCAGGTGCAAATTTGAGCCACAGTGTACTCAGAATTCTTTAACAAATGGCACAAATGGCTCTCCAAGGTTGGGACGGGAGAAGGGCAGGCAGGAAGGAACACCTACATTTATAGTTTGCCAATGTCTGTGGGGTAAAATACACCCATTACAGTTGATTCTAAGCTGTCAGTGTGATGTCACTGAACAGAAAATTGGTTCAGTTATCTAGAATTTTCATGATACAGATAACGTAGATACAAATAACCTTAAGAGCACAGATAATAGTAAAATAACTAGGAAGTTATGCGTTTTGAGTATTATCTATGTTTTTAACATAATTTAACTATAACTTTATATAATTTAATTTTTAACAGTGTAATGGCTTTAACAACTGGCTCACACAATTCCTAAAGTTTTTCTTTTTCTTTCTTTCTTTTTTTTATTTTTTTAATTTTTTTTTGAGACGGAGTCTTGCTGTGACGCCCAGGCTGGAGTGCAGTGGTGCGACCTTGGCTCACCGCAACCTCTGCCTCCTGGGTTCAAAGGATTCTCCCGCCTCAGCCTCCCAAGTAACTGGGATTACAGGCGCCCACCACCACATCTGGCTAATTTTTGTATTTTTAGTAGAGACGGAGTTTCACCATGTTGGCCAGGCTGATCTCAAACTCCTGACCTCAGGTGATCCACCCACCTTGGCCTCCCAAAGTTCTGGGATTACAGGCTGAGCCACCATGACCAGCCCAATTCCTGAAGTTTTAACAATTGTTCTTGTGAGCCAAGTGAGATCAGTGCCCCACTGGGTTTGGAGTCATTAGCATAGAGGTGGTGGCTGGAGCCACAGGGCTGAGTGTGATCCTCTGGGGGTGCATAGAGAGTAAAAAGAAGAGAGTGCCCAGAACAGACTCCTGAGATGCTGCAAACTTCAGGGGTCAGAAGCAGAGTAACCTGGAGAAAGACTGAGAAGGCCCTGGCAGTGAGAAAGAAAGAGAAGCTGAAGAAAGTGCACAGAGACCTTGGGGATAGCGATCGACTAGATAAATGCTAGAGGGAGGCTGAAGGAGACCAGCAGTGGAGAGTCTGCAATAGATGGGCGGCAAGTGGGTAGCTGGGAAGCTGAATAGCAGTGAGCCCAAAGAGGGAAGGGGCAGCAGGGGACAGCCTGCAGGAGAAAGTGACATTCGAGCTGGGTTTTGAAAGATGAGAAGGACCTTACAGGTGGTGGTGACCATTCCCAGCAAGGCATCTAGCAGGTGGGAAAGACCAGTGTCAAGGTAACAGAAAATAGGTTAAATTCTGAGTCAGGCAGGAAGTTCGTTTGGCTGCTAGCACAGAAGCTTAGGCAAAGCAGGCATTTGTTCTTTCACTTAAACAAGTTCAGTGGTGGGCAGTCCACAGGTGGTGTGATGACTTCACAGTTATTAGGAACCAAGAATCCTACATTTCTGGTGTACCATTCTTAGTACATGAATTTCATCCAAATGGCCCAAGATGGCTGAAGCAGCTCCTGCCATCATGTCAATGCAGACAGCAGGAAGAGGGGAGGGGAGGGTA